TTTCATGGGTGATAAATTGAGTTGGTTTTGAAACAAATTCAACATGAACTACTTCGCAGTTCATTAAATTTGTTTTAAGACCAACTCAATTCATCACCCCGTGAAGGCATGACGGGGGCTCCACAGTAATTATGCGTCTGATTTGCGTTCATACCGGCATGAACGTTGTTCAATACATATATTTACATTCTAAATTGTATTTGCTTTATTTATCTAAAGACATGAATTTTCTCATCTTTTTGATTTTGAAGTGTCTGGTTTTCATTGCAAACGAGATTCCTGAAACAGCTTAACGTCATAAAAATGTATACGGAAGATGCTGTAAAATGTCACTGATCAAATTTCGTTCATAACCCTTTGAACTTATTTTCTTCAATTAATACCTATAGAGGAACTATAAGAGGAAATGTAAATATAACTGTAAGACAAACTAGACAAATGTGATTTAACATTAGCCATTTATTCAGGAGCGGCATATTAGTGTTTTTCCAGATATTTAGCCATCTGTGGTTTGTTCAACAAAAACAGTATTTTGTTCAAATCTATAAAAGAGATAATTGTGTTTGTGAAATCAGTATTCGTATATAAATCTGTCACTTCTGCTGTAACGTCTCAAAAAAGGCATTGGTCGTCATGGCGACCTTAAACTTCAAATATTGATTTTAACATATGTAATAATAAAAGAGTTCCTATTTGTCTTTTTTTCTTTTCTTTTTAACATGTTACCTTGGACTTGACATATTGACATCATGATGGATGTCATGCACACATGCGATTCAAAATAATGCCTGCAAATAACAAGTGATTTCAAAGCAAAAACAATCCTAACATCAATCTGATCGCTCTCAACAAATCTATAGCAGTAAGAATACATCGGATGTTCGTGATTGTGTTGTGACACCTTTGGCATGCGGAGCCTGAAGCCTCCAGTTTTGCCATTGTTTTTTTTTTTTTTTTTTTTTCAGCAGTCACTTTCGTCAATACATACATGTGCATACCAATGGTGATCTCCTCGAATGTTGACACGATAGAAATGGTTTTTTTTATTTGAGGTAGCAGACGCTGTGTCATACTTGATTAATTTGTAACAGGTCTTACACTCTCATTTTAAGACAAGGGTATACTTCACGGTATATTTACAGTTATCTGGGTGCCTTGGTAGCCGTGATCGCTTACGCGCAGTCATTTATATTGTGTGTAATCAAGTGTGAGCTTCAGACCACTCACTCTCCAAAGAATTTTGGTTCGTTTCCCAGCGTTGGTGGTAAAAGAGAATATGACTAGTTACATTTATATAATGTATTCCTCCGATGACAGTTTCCCCCCGTGGATTTCCTCAACCAGCGGCGGCGTAGCCAATACCCTACGGCACTTATGTTTGTTGTTTACTATGTACACGACTTTCATTGAAATTGGCCCAATCATTTTGGAGAAGTAATCCGGCCAAGCATTTCTCAACAAATGGCTATAATTCCGTAAAAAGGTTAGAATGAAACAAGAGGCCCATGGGCCTTAACGGTCATCTGAATTATGTAAATCTTCAAAGTATCAAACTGTCATCTCATGGTTATGATTTCAATCAAGTTTATAATATTTCTAATGGAAAATGAACAAAATGTACCCAAAAGTATCAATTGCTTACATAAACTGTAGTAAACTTAACCCCCTGCAAAGGGGCAAAAGTGGAGCCTGGGGGTCATGAAATTCATTATTTCGATAAAGCACCTGAAGACCCCTACATCTATGAAGATTGTTTGTTTCTAGCATATCTGAGTCTGGAGAAGAATTCTAAGATGGCCAAAGCCCAAACTGTCATAGTATCAAACTGTCATTTCGAAAGGTTTCCAATTGGAAATGAACCAAACATACCCAAAAGTATCATTTTCCTATGTAAACTATAGTAAACTTCGCCCCCTCCCCAGGGGCAAACATTGAGTCTGGGGGTCATGAAATTCACAATTTTGATAAAACACCTCAAGACCCTTCCATCTATGACCAGTATTGGTTTCCAGCCTATCTCAGTCTGGAGAAGATGACTGTTGAAATGTCTGGCTATATGACCCCATTTGGGCTACCCCCTCAGCCCCTGGGAATGAGACAGGTTTAAAAATGTCAAATTATCAAACTGTCATCTCATGGTTATAATGTAAATCAAGTTTTAATGATTTCCAGTAGAAAATGAACAAAATATACCCAAAAGTTGCATATTCCTAAACAAACACCCCCTCCCCAGAGGCAAACACGAAGCTCGAGGGTCATGAAATTCACAATTTTGATAAAGTACCTTAAGACTCTTCCAACTATGAAGAGTATTGGTTTCCAGCATATCTGGGTCTGGAGAAGAATTTCAAAATTAAGCCAGTTTGACCACTTTTAGCCCCTGGGGGTGGGAACCATATAATTCACAATTTTGGTGCATATTTGACCAAGGAAGGTTCCTGCAAAATTTTATTGAAACCTTATCAGCGGTTTCTGAGAAATCGAAAATGTAAATTGTTCATGGACGTATGACAGACAACGCAAGACACACGTCGCCGGACAAAAGGTGATCACAATAGGTCACTTGAGACTTAATTTGTCTCAGGTGACCTAAAAATAGTATCTGGATACACTATACCAGGTGGTTATTTTTATATATGAAAACTTTCGTTGAAATGGACCCCTTAATTTTGGAGAAGGTTTTGTGAAAAGGATTTTGCAACAAAGGGCAATAACCTTTTTTTAAACAAGAGGCCCAGAGGGCCTGTATTGCTCACCTGAATATTTAAGCTGTCATGGCAAAATATTCCCATTAAATATTATACTGTTCTACAAATATTAAATATTTCACTGGCAAACTTTGTCGGTTACTTCCGTTGAAGCTACCAGCCGAATATTATTATGATTCTATGCTTTTTTGTTCTTCTTCAGAAACAGTTGTTTGAAGTGTTTGACATATTTGTCCCTGTGACCTTGTAAGTAGGTCAAAGCCATTTCCTTCTCAAACTTTGTTGGCTCTTTCACAAGAAGCTACCAGCTAAATCTTATGAATCCATGGCTTTTGGTTCTTCAGAACAAAACGTTTGAACTTTAGGCTTGTCCATACTTCAGAAGAAGTCATTTAAAGGAAAACCTGACAGTTGACGACGGATGGACAGACGACGGATAGAGGACCGACAATGCGCCATGACATAAGCTCACTTGCCCAACAGGCAGGCAAGCTATAAAGGGTCAGAATAAAAAAAAAAAAAACCTGAATGCACAACTTCAGGTGGTAGTAATCATACCTGGAAAGTTTTGCTGAAATTGGTCCATTGCTTTAGAAGGAATTGTACAGACAAACTTTTTCTACGGACGGACAGACAGACAGACAAACAAGATGACTACAGTATACCCACCTAACTTCGTCACAGGGATATAAATATATCGAAAAAGATATAAAAAGCAAAAAAAGTGTCAGCTAACGAGACAGTGAAAACAAGTATTGATCAGGTAACAAAAACCTATCAATTGATGAGATGCAATGAAATAAGTATCATCCAACAAGAGGCAAACATATCGAGGATCAACCAATGAGAGGCAAATAAAAAAAGGATCAACCAATAATAATAGTAATAATAATTTGAGGTTCTTATATACCGCTTTATCACAACCTAGTTCGTAGGTCGTCTCAAAGCAGTTCACAAATTACTATCCGTGGTTATAGGGCCTTTGCAACCAGTCAATATCTTTCTCAACTCCCTGGGGAGCATACAGCCCAAGCTGCCATTTCGGCACTCACAGCTAGCATTCTACAATTCTAGTACTACCCAACCACGTACTCATTTACAGCTGAGTAAACTGGAACAAGCAGAGAAAAGTATTTTGCTCATGGATACAACACAGTGCCGTGACGAGAGTCGAACTCGCAACCTTTTGGTCAAGAGCCCGGCATCCTACCACTAGAATACTGTGCCTCCTTTTTTAAGAGGCAAACAGATAAAGCATCAACCAATGACAGATAAATAAATAAAGATATCCAAATGGAGGCTTATAAAAAAGGTATCAACCAATGAGATGCAATGAAAAAAGTATCAACCAATGACAGATAAATAAATAAAGATATCCAAATGGAGGCTTATAAAAAAGGTATCAACCAATGAGAGACAAACAAATTAAAAAGGATCAACCAATGAGATGCAATGAAAAAAGGATCAACCAATGAGACAAACAAATCAAAAAGGATCAACCAATGAGAAGCAAACAAATGAAGAATTAACCAATGAGGACTAATAAAATGTATCACCTAATGAGAGACAAACAAATAAAAAGGGATGAACATTAGAGGTAAATAAAAAATAATCAACTAATTAGAGGTAAATAAAGTATCAACCAATGGAAGGTAACTAAAAAGTATCAACTGATCATGATGGGGAGATAAACAAATAAAGGATCAACCAATGAGAAGCAAGCAAATAAAGGATCAACTAATGAGAAGAAAGCAAATAAAGGATAAACCAATGAGAAGCAAGCAAATAAAGGATCAACCAATGAGAAGCAAGCAAATAAAGGATCAACCAATGAGAGGCAAATGAATCAGTAACGAATGCGAGGAATAGAGTCAATTGGACATTCACTTACTGACCAAGAAAGTAACAATGTCTGGTCAGGGCCAAGGGAGGCACATTTGTGAACATAACATGTCAACGGTAGTTTCTATAAAGATCAGCGAAGTTCAGCATATCCCATTTGATGAATTCTTTATATAGAACTCACTAGTCCGGCCATAGAAGTATTTTATCAATAATGAGAAGAGCTAGATGCCCACGACAACATCAACTGAGAGTAAGGTGACCTAGTGGGCCATATAAACACTGGATTAAACTTGCTGATATCTCAGTTGATGTTGTCTCTTCTCATCATTCTAGAGAAGTCATAAAACAAACAGTAGCAAGTCAAAAGCCATAGCGGCGTACATGGATGTCTATGTCAACATTCAGAATATGCTTATAACATTTAAACCAAAAGATCATGTTTTCCACTTTATTTTTATTCTGAATTTAATTGAATGTAATTGTTAAGACATCACATGCTTTTAACCTTTAGGTTGGCCAGGTATGTTAAAAATACAATCACGATCAATCATTGACCTTTAAAATATTTATTTTCCATTTCCTGCATAGCCAACAAATATTTCTGTCAAAAATTTCATAACAAATATCTGCATAACACTGTCTTTAAACATGGGTGATTTTTAAATGTTGCAGTGTGATTTCATTTACAATAAACATTTCCAAAATTCAAATCTGTCAATGTCTGCAAATTATCTTTTTATCATGCATGACTTAAAATAACAATTCCAACGTTGTTCATCTTTTTATCACAAAGTTGGAATTCAGTACTGCTCCTTGATAACCCCTCACTGTCTTTATGATGACATGATTGGGAAAGAATTAAAGGTCTACGAGTGTATTTTTTGTTAATTCTTAAAATACATCAAGTCATTTGTAAATTTAGTATTTCCCAACATCATCGTGATGACTGAATGTTTTCCTTAGTTTTTCCTTCTTTCCCCTGTTGTGGTGTCTCTTCCAGGGTTTATCCACAATGAGTGTCTGCATGCTGCCATGATCAGATGAGGTGTCGCTGGACTCCACGCTCGATTCAGCTCCTACCTGGTTCAGACCTTCGATCCGTGTGTAGTTTTTTACATTTCTGACACCTTTAGCATGAATCTTGGGAGCAGGCTGAAATTGAAAATAAAAATCTAAAGAGTTTCACATTTAAACTATACATTCAACATATAAGTATCCATAACATAGAAAATGTAGACTATATATAACTATGCAGAAATGTAAGTACTTTGGCACACAAACAATTTCACCGTGTAAAATGTGGTATTCCATATAAGTTTATCAGCATACATAATTAAAGTAACCTCAACATTTATAAATGTGTTTGATATTATAAAAAAGATCAACTTCACCACTGATGTAATCATGTTCCATAGATGATTATCAACATTCCAATGGTCACTAATAAAATGCCACTGTTGACAACATAATTATGTTCACATTGCAAAATATACTATTGTTCCATAGTTGATTACAGTGCTACATGTAACAATGTTCAACAGTTACTAAGACGTTCCAAAGAATACGCCTCTAAGTCCAAATTTGACGTACCACAGTTGACTACCAAAGTTCTGCAGTTGATTACCAAAGTTTCACAGTTGACTACTAAATTAAAGTTCCAGAGTTGACTACCAAAGTTCCACAGTTGATTACCAAAGTTCCACAGCTGACTACCAAAGTTCCAGAGTTGACTACCAAAGTTCCACAGCTGACTACCAAAGTTCAACAGCTGATTACCAAAGTTCCATAGTTGACTACCAAAGTACCACAGTTGACTACCCAAGTTCCATAGCTGACTACCAAAGTTCCGGAGTTGACTACCAAAGGTCCACAGTTGACTACGAAAGTTCCAGAGTTGACTACCAAAGTCTCACAGTTGACTACCAAATTTCCACAGTTGACTACTAAATTAAAGTTCCAGAGTTGCCTACCCAAGTTCCACAGTTGAATACCAAAGTTTCACAGCTGATTACCAAAGTTCCAGAATTGTCTACCAAAGTTCCACAGTTGACTACCAAAGTTCCTCATTGACTACCAAAGTTCCTCATTGACTACCAAAGTTCCATAGCTGACTACCAAAGTTCCACAGTTGACTACCAAAGTTCCATAGCTGACTACCAAAGTTCCACAGCTGATTACCAAAGTTCCAGAATTGACTACCAAAGTTCCACAGCTGACTACCAAAGTTCCACAGTTGACTACCAAAGTTCCACAGTTGATTACCAAAGTTCCACAGTTGACTACCAAAGTTCCTCATTGACTACCAAAGTTCCATAGCTGACTACCAAAGTTCCATAGCTGACTACCAAGTTCCATAGCTGACTACCAAAGTTCCACAGTTGACTACCAAAGTTCTGAAGTTGATTACCAATGTTCCATAGCTGACTACCAAAGTTTCATACCTAAATACCACAGTTTCAAAATTGCATACCAAGGTATTAAGTTGACCAACAATATCACTGCTTACAACCAGATCCCACAGTGAGAGTTAGACAACAAATCAATATTAAACCTATATAAATATATGTATCTATATAACTCAATAATACAACATAATTATACAATGGATAGTGTTTGTAAATAGCATAATACTTACTTTGGCAAAGAACTCCTTGTCCAGTCTGCTTGGAACAGACATAGGACCCTATAAAGCAAATCATTGGGCATTTAGCAAAAACAGAATTATTGAAATGTTTAAAATGTGTTATTTTGAAAATAACCCCACCACATTTATGAGGCAATAATAGTGAGAATTCTATCGGACATATATATGATGATAAGTTACAACGTTGATCGAAAAGTTGTGAAAGAAAGGGAGCAGATCCTAAATCAAGAAATATTTGTTAAAAAATCTTCACCTTTTTCCTTTCTATTCTAAAGATAATCAAGATATTTCTCATCAATTGGCAGGATTTATATTCCAATATGTTATTTTTATTGAAATGGTTACAATAAAATTTTAATGATTAACAATTTTTATTTTTTTTCAAGTCCGTCAATTTCTTATTTTACCCAGTTTTTCAACAACAATTGTTCTTTATTTTTAAATATTAAGAGTGATTTAATATGATAAGAGAAAATTGATCCAGGTCTTACATGATCAGCGGCTCTCTTCTTTGAGGAAGAAATGGTGCGTGTGGGCTGGAATGTCTCCTCATCAACATCAGGTGGGGGGTTACAGTACAGAAGTTTACCCTGTACAAAACAAATCACATCATCAATTTAAAGTAACTTTGAATCACATTATTTAAACAATTGCCAACAAATATATTCAGCAGTTATCTAAATGCTTTGAAATGTAACAGTAAACTGCAGAAATTACACATCAGGGTGGGGTCAAAAATAATAATAATAATTTGAGGTTCTTATATAACTCTTTATCACAACCTAGTTTGTAGGTCATCTCAAAGCGGTTCACAAATTATTATCCGTGGTTATATGGCCTTTGCAACCAACCAATATCTTTCTCAACTCCCTCGGGAGCATACAGCCGATGCTGGCATTTCAGCGCTAACAGCTAGCATTCTACTATTCTAGCACTGCCCAACCACAAACTCATTTACAGCTGAGTAGACTGGAACAAGTGGAGTCAAGTATCTTGTTCAAAGATACAACACAGTATATAAGAACCTTGAATTATTATCATTAAAACAAGCATATAAGCCTGTCTTAATTATTTAAATGTCCTTTCCTAACCTTCAGTGTACATGTACATACTACTGATCTTACATCAAACAACTGGAAATTATGCTTTGCAATTCAATCTTTTCCATTATTAATATACAAGTTCAAGTAAAATATATAAAATCAAGTTGAAGTCAATTATTTTTCCTATCACTAGACTACCGTGCCTCCAAAACCTGACTTTGATAATAAACATGACTAACAAATGAAATGAACCTAACAGCCAATGTTAGTTGTATCTCGGTATCCAAGGTCTCCTTCGCCATAGTGGGCACAGAAAATGCATTGTATCTTAAATTTCATGTAAGACATTGGCAGCTTTTTACCATTTCCAAGTCACTTCTGTCAAAATTATTCTATAAAGTCTTACTGTATGAAAGATGTCACATACCTTTCTATCAGTGCAATTTTTCATCAAGGTCTGACACAATCTTTTAAATGTTATTAAGGTCTCATTTAATTATCCTCATTATATTCATCAAAAGTCACATCTTTCAATACTGATCAATAGACCTCACTAGCTAGTTTCAGTATGGCTATATTGATGCTTACATTCACGAAATCTTTGAGGATGTATCTGGATGTTCTTGGGCAATCAGGAAGTCCATTAGCCGTCATGTACCCTCGCATGTCTGAAATCGGATAAAAACAAGTATAAAATTCTTAAAAGTTTGTTTCATTCCAAGCATCAGAAAGAAAGAAAAGGTTGTAAGTTATTTATTTTATATGTATCTTTGATATCTTAAAATAAATGACAAGAGGGTTTCTCAGTACTTACCTAGTACTTTCACTTCCTTACAGGTTTATCAGAGGATAAGATTACCTCTGACTAACCTCTAAAGAGGTGAAAGTCCTAAGGAAGTAAGAAGAAACTTGTTTGTCATTTCTTTTATATTAAACCTTCACAAGCACTTTTTATTTTTTTGTATTTGATATCTTTAATATAGATAGGTGTTAAAAATAACCTGATAAATGTTATTAGTTATAAAACAAAAGGAAATCCAAATATCAATACACCCTTCATAGTAAACTCATTCACACCCAACGACACATTTGAACTCTTCCAATTCAAAGGTTGGAATAGTTCATTATGAAATTTCAGGGGTGAATGAGTTAATAATAAATCTGGGGTGTACCATTCTACTAGCCAGGTGCCTGGGACTCGTGGATTTTATGTCAGGGCTATAATTACAATAAAACCATTTAAAAAGCTAGTATAATTTTTGAAAAACAGGAAACGGGCTTTCTTTGAATGTATATATATCATTTCTTTAGAAAGAAAATTTCATCAAGTAACTCATGACAAAGAGAGCACAGTTATTTTTTTGTTGACATTCTTCATAAACATTTCATCACATGGTTCTACAACATGTAGAAATTCTTCAGGAAAATTTGAAGCAACAAAAAGGAAAATCTTCAGAATCAAGACATTTTCTACTACATAGTAGCTTTATACTTACATCCATACACATTGAGAAGCTCTCGTTCCGTTGGACATCGGTTGGGATCCTGCCCTTCTGCTGGCTCTGGTAGGTTAATGGAGTAAGTCTCCTCCAGTATAGATTTTGGGATCAGTTGACATATCTTATTTAGTTAAAGATATTGTGTAAATATTTCCAAAGCTTTGCATCAGTACATCAAGATTCTCTATATGGTAACTTTAACTTGGATATATTTTTAACCCTTTCATCCCTAAGTAACTGTAGTAGACTCAACCATGCATTGATACGGATGAGTCCATTATGGTCTACAGTGGTGAAATTAAAGGGTTAAGTAGAATCAAATATTTGCATTGATTGTTTTTTTCAAAAATAAGAGGCTGTATTGTATCACCTGTCATCACCTGCTGTTTAAAAGTGTTGACAAATTGTTTGGTGCTAAAATGCTTGTATTCAACACCTTCGACTTCTATGACCTTAAATATGTGTGTAGAAAATGAGTTTGAACATTCTTTATTCATTTATTTCAGCAAACTTTATAATCTCACTCTAGAATTTGGTTGAAGATATTGACACATTTAACCACAGAACATTCATTTGATAAAAACTGATTTGATTGCTGAAAAAACAAAGCTACATGGCAAATTAACTTTCATTATTCAAGGGTTAGTTGTTCGAAAGAGTTTAACATATTTCATCCATTTGACCTTGAATGTGGTCCAAAGACAAAGTCATTACGCTTGATAACCTTTTACCCAAACAAGCTACAGGCAAAATATTTTTGCTAAAGACCTCATGAATTATCCAATTCTGTGTTATATCTCTGAGTACGGATGCATGTACAAGGATACGAGAGATGTAGGAGGCGCATGGTCCCGCATCTGGTCAATAGGAAGAATCCCATTGACCACTAAATCAGCCTTGGTGGAGACAAAGGAGGGGAAGACAAGCCCTGGACAGTCACACAGCATCAGGTCTGATTCCACAAACAGTGTCTGTAATCATAGAAACATTGGCAATTCACATCCCGAAACAACTAATAACACAGCATCAGAAATGGGGCCATAAATTAAAGTCCGTTAACGTTACAGTGTACAAGCCGTCGGTCTGTGTTTTTCTCCGGGAACTCCGGCCTTCCTCCACCACCAAAACCTGGCAGGTCCTTAAATGGCCATATATATATATCTGTTAATAGGACGTAAAACAATAACATTACAGTGATTTTTCAGGGCAATTTTGGGTCTTTTAAAGACCTTTTTCTCTTTGAAATTTTCTGGTATTTCTCCAAAATTTAATGCAAAAATCACTTTATTTTCCAAAACTCATGCTTTTTGTGGGTGATATTTTCCCGAAACAACAGGCACATGTACAGGTACCTGTGGGAAAGAGGTAGAAAAATCACTGCATTGACATTACAGAGATACAGTTTCAAGATAGCATTTATCTTGTTGTGCCCTGTCCTTTCACTCATGAAAACAATAATTTCATATTGTGGAGAGGTTTTTGATTGGGACCCAGCTATGTGTTCCAGATTGGAAAGTTATTTGACTCATCAATGTTCAACATATTCAGGTCATGTTTCTACAACCTGCATTATTTATTACAGAAAACCGCAGGGACCACAAAACTATATATGAAACAACAGGGATTGCAAAACTACATGGGGGAAATGACAGGAATTTACTATATGGGGAAATGACAGGCTTTGTAAAATTATCTTGTGAACATCAGGGACTAAAAGAAGCTATACACACTTATAGGGAAATGACAGGGACCAAATACGTTCTTGATTCAGAAGGGATATTCAACATGATATATATCTAAGTTTGACTAAAACTGGTTTTAGTGTAATCAGTGTTATTTATATATACAATATTTAGTAATCATACAATGGAACGTATAATTAACCAAGAAAACTTTCAAGTCCTGACCTGGAAATGTTTAGTCCTCCCTGGAGTGGCAGACACAGGAACCTTCTTAGTCCTCAGAATAGCATTGATACTGGAACTCTTACCAACATTTGGATAACCAACCTAGGAAGGGAGACAACTTATCTTATTTTATTTCTATTTTCATTAAAAAACTGGATATATACTCCTGAACCACACAGAGTAAATGAAATATAAAATCATCAACCATCATCAGCTTGTATCAATACAGATTTGTAGAAAGTTAATGCTTATATTTATAATGTGCACTGAACGTGTTCAGTCAACAGTACTGTTCTGATCCATTAGATTCAATTCATAAATATAGTTTTCAACATGACAAATTTGTGATGTCCTTAAGAAATTATAATGTGTGAGATTACTGTAGTTAATCCTTATTTTCATTATTAACAGTTTTTATTAGGCCATCAACAATATATTTATATAGAAAACACTCCTAACAAATGTACAAAACAAGAAAGAATAATTTAAAAGTAAATGTTTGAAGAGTTGGCTAAAGAAAAGGAAAACAATATAATTTAATCTGATGAGATAATTTTTTACCATTCCCATAGTTGTCTGTCCTTCTGTGTGCTTTTTTCCAGTATGCAGAGTCCTAAACAAATCAAGTAATTCTAATCCATTCAGAATTTTCCCTCCACCTTCTGAACAGTTGGAGGATTTGACACTTTCACAACAGTTATCACAATCACCGCCTGTAGCACCATCCTGAGTATCGTCCGTAAATCTTTTTGCATCATTGTCTGTCAAATCTGTTTCCATGGTAACTGTTCTTGCTTTACCCAAGTCTGTGGTTTTCTGTGACTGGCTGTTTTCACTATCATCATCAGCAGTACCTGTATCCATGTCCTTTTCTGTTTCAGTGGTCACACATTCCTTGTCCATGCCCTCACCACTCACACTACAATCCTCCTGCTGTCTGTCCATCATTTCACTAGATTCTTCATTTATTTGGTTTTGAAGTCTTTCAGTGATATCCTCTTCCTCATCATCATCACCATCATCACTCTCATCATCTTCTTCCTCACTTTCTTTGTTTAACTCATCCATTTCTTCCTTTTCTTTCTCCTTTCATGTAATACAAACAATGCAAATATATACATTTCAGTTTTTAAGCCTAAACAATGCATTTGTTACTATTGGGGATAACAGTGAAATGCAAGAAATAGGTGGAAAATGTGAAATGAAATGAGTTTACCCATTTCATTTTGACACAGACAATATAGCTGTACTGTTTTAGAACGTTACTGAACATCTCAACATGCTCCTCATGTTTTATTAAAAGGATGAGAAGTAGAGAATAAGTCTCACAAACTAAATTTCAGTGTAACAATAAATTAAAACTCTGAAGAAACTAGTGTCTAACATATACATTTTCAGATGGGAAAATTGTTTAAGTTTGGTACAAAAAAATATGATTAATAAAGACAGATTATAAGCGCTAATTTTTTATCAGAAGTATTTTTTTGGATTTATTTCTAAGATAAATAATATATTAGACAAAGTTAGATGGATTTGAATTCAAATGAAATATTTTAAAATAGATATTTTTCTTTCACACGATTTCCTATAAATTGATTGGACAGTTACCTCCCTTGATGTGCAATACATTATAACAGGTGAACTTTGTTCAATTTCTATTAAACTGACATTTGTATTGGATAAATATTGACCAAGTTTCTTAGAATTCAGTCACATTTGATTATATTAATGTGCAGAAGACGTCGACTAATCAGAGTGTAAAATGCTGATTGATTTTGTGTGAAATTTAAACTTGGCCATAGCTGTTGAACATCAAATTACATACTTACAAAAAATAGTCAAATCTGATAATATCTGAGCAAGTTAATGTGAAGTTTGGTTTGGTTTAATTTTGTTTAATACTCTATAAACAGCTAAGGTCATTTCAGAACATGCCTACATGTTAGTAGTGCATGCATGCTTGCGCGTGTGTATGCGCGCAGGAGACAGGGTATGTTGGTTTCAAATTAATGTGAAGAAACAAATTAGATGGACATACAGAGAAGGTAATTGATAAAAGCCATATGATACCTCTATTCAATAAATTTACCATTGTTTAAACATCAATAGCTGTCACAATTATCTTGGTCAAAGTTTCAACACATATAACTTATGCAAAAGAAAATGTGTTTTATATCAAAAACTTTAATCCAACCAGGAAAAATAATCTCATCAAATTTAAAATGTTAGGCTTTTACAGTATGTCCTAACCTCATTTTGGCGTGCAGTCTCTTCTAAAGCTGACCAGAACGCCACCTGTACTCCTCTCTCCTTAAAATACTGGTACCACAACTCTCTGAAAATCCAATCATTGATTATTGAGAATTAGTCATCATTTCAAGGACATATAGACCCATCAGTATGTAGGTCTGACTGATTGTGACCGATACATGTATTTCATATAGACCCATCAGTATGTAGGTCTGACTGATTGTGACCGATACATGTATTTCATATAGACCCATCAGTATGTAGGTCTGACTGATTGTGACCGATACATGTATTTCATATAGACCCATCAGTATGTAGGTCTGACTGATTGTGACCGATACATGTATTTCATATAGACCCATCAGTATGTAGGTCTGACTGATTGTGACCGATACATGTATTTCATATAGACCCATCAGTATGTAGGTCTGACTGATTGTGACCGATACATGTATTTCATATAGACCCATCAGTATGTAGGTCTGACTGATTGTGACCGATACATGTATTTCATATAGACCCATCAGTATGTAGGTCTGACTGATTGTGACCGATACATGTATTTCATATAGACCCATCAGTATGTAGGTCTGACTGATTGTGACCGATACATGTATTTCATATAGACCCATCAGTATGTAGGTCTGACTGATTGTGACCGATACATGTATTTCATATAGACCCATCAGTATGTAGGTCTGACTGATTGTGACCGATACATGTATTTCATACAGACCCATCAGTATGTAGGTCTGACTGATTGTGACCGATACATGTATTTCATATGGGTGCGTAACTCAATATCTTTTAATATTATGACATCACAATCACATGACATTTCATTCTGAGTAGGGTCTACAGGTACAATTTTACATGGTATATGGTCTTTCTGAAAAGATCCAATTTGGCAGGCGACACTTTTCAATAAAAGAAGTCTGATTTCATGTGTTAAGCAAAATGAAAAATTTGTCAAATTCTTTTCACATCACTTATATTAAAATTGGACTTCTAAATAACACTCCCCATTCGATAAACAACACAAAATATGATGACATTATATATTGCATTATTTGGCACAGCTTCCATTTGTAAGGATAACTTCGGATTAGTTAAAATTGTCTAGCAATGAAATTAAAGCGCAATGTTGCGTTTATGCGTGTTTTTTTTTTACATAAAAAAATAATATTCATTAACAACAAATTAAGTGTTGTCTGTCTTTTGAAATTCAATTTTAAGGAATAACCATGATCATTTTGGGTGATACAGAGCCTAAACATGTATGTACCAAAACAAAAACTGAGTGCACTTTAGTGTATAATCCTATTTATGAATGTATGCAAAGTACACACAGTATTTTTAACTATACACTTGTAGCCCCAAATATTAACCTGGTTATTTCTTTAAGTATACCAGGAATTTTTCGCTCAGTCAAACTTTCGCCCTATGATGGTATAAACCCTATTTGTCCAGTTGTAATTTCACCCTTCACATTTGGATGCAATGGTTATTATGTTGTTTACAAATGTTTGCTCTGGTGATCAATTTGACCTCGTTACTGAGGGAGGAAAAAGTGAAAATTGGTGAAATAAAGTAATTACTATCATTTTTTTTTTAAGAAATACAAATATTTTTTCTTACCTTTGAGGTGCAGTGAGGTAGTCTGCCTTGTTGATTAGAATCAAATTTTGTTTGTTTGGATCTACCTCTTTGATATAAGCTTCCAGATCTTCACAGCGAAACAGCAATGGATTTCTGGCATCTACGATCTGTACAATTACATCACTGCAACAGATATGTGAACATTGTAAAACGGCACAGAAATTAAATGCACGCAACAGTATACACTATAGTGTTGAAGCAGTTCAATCTCTTCCTGCAATACAAAACAAATACATGTATATATATGTATATATTGCTCGACAATATTATGCTTATCACAGTACCCTTTACTTCCCGTCTACAAAAACTAAAGGATTAAAAGTTACTTCCTTTTGTTTCTACTTTCAATCCACGGAATTGTAATATGTTTCCTGTGATAAAGAACAAATGTGAAGAGTTAAAGCAAAGTAGCAGGCGTATGAGAAACATTTTTAATAAACATGCTATTTTACACTGTAGACGCCAACCTAAGAACTTGAAACGTATGTTGACATGTTCTAAGTTTGATAATTCTTGTGTAACACCAGATATATCCAAATGTAAGACACCAAGATGTGCTACATGTCCTATGATTATCGAGTGTAATACTTTTATTTTCAAGAATGGTTTGAAATTTACTGTGAAGGTAAATATGAATAAAAAGTAAAAAATGTAATTTATGCAATAGTTTGTTCTAAATGTGGTGATTTTTACATCGGTCAAACCGGTAATGAACTCAGAACACGTATGACTGTACATAGACAACAAACTAGAACTGATTCTTTACGAAATCTTCATGTTAACAAACATATTCATGAATGTGCTGGAGATAAATTTAATGTATTACCTTTGTATCAACTATTTTCATCAGACACTATTTTAAGAGAAACGAAAGAAGACCAACTAATTAATCAAAATATTAAAACCAAGTATTAACAGGCCACAGTAAAATTTTACGCTAAATTGTCCACCAACCTTGTGTACTTCGTGACGTCACGTTACTATTGTAGTGTGATGACATGTAATTGTGATGTCACGACATTGTTCTTTTGAATAAACCTGAAGAGCCCTGTGAAGGGTGAAAGCAGCTAGTTTTTTAGTCGGTCGTTAATTTTATTTTTTCTATATGTATATATATATACTGTGATAAGCATAATAAACATTCTTCCCAACATTAAGTGCTCCTCTCTATTACAAGACTCCAGTCATTGCCAAGGCCAATCTTTCAATACTAGACATACAAAAAGTTAGAATAAAAGTGCAGATTGTGCTTGAAAACTTTAAAGACATATTGATGTACTTCTATTAAAATCAAGCCATTTGGATTGATATGTCTCGCCTGCGCTCCACTTTGACCATCAATGCACATGTCAAGTTTGGTTGGTGTAGCACTTTTAGCTTCTCTACTAACTTAAATACAAAAACTTCATGTTGAAGGAGATGCTGACAAAGTCAATTGACTATGAAAGGTAGGCCGCATCCAGCATTTGATGCATGGGTTGAGATGTACTATCTCAGATGCATCTATGGTCCAAGTTTGGTTTGTGTAGCACTTCTACTTTCAGTGAGTGTGCGTAGCACTTATACTTTAAGTGAAACTAACTTAAACGCAAAAACTTAATGTTGACGCTATCATCACCGTAAGCAACAACTTAGTCTCGCTTCCGGTACTTTGTGGATGACGAGACAAAAATGGAGAAAAATTGTAAACTATTGGTTTCTAAATCATATCCAAACAAACAGAAATTAATTATATTGAAACCTGGTGACTGTCAAAGTTATTATCTCAAATACGAAACCCCACATATTACCTGTGAAAACAATAAAACAAACAACATGATTTTTCATTACATTTTGCCAGGCAAAGAATGTCCCTAATTATTGTATATTACCTTCTTTCGATAACCCTCCAAAGTTGACGCCAGAAGTCAAGATTTTTCTCATAAGGGGTCAGTTCAATACCCTCTATTTCTTGTAACCTGAATAGGACAAACGACATGTACAATCAATGACTGTGAAGCTCACTGACACCAACTATAACAAAACAGTAACATTTCAGTTTTATAAATTTATTTTCAAACAATTTATCAGAAGATGTAAGCCAAATATCTAAATCAGTTACAGTACATGATTAATTTATCTAGAACTTTTTCAAAATTGAATTGGATTGGATTGTTTTTAAATTAGATTTGGTCCTCAAACACAACCAATTGATTATATAATCAATCTATATGGAATGAATTTGAAATAATTCAAAATGTGTGTTTCTCTTGTTGAAAAATAGAGTAAGTTTGGATATAAATGTAATGATAATAAGTACAATGTATTTTGATCTTTGAATCTGTACACCTGTATCAAATAGTCATTAAAATGAACTAGTTCCAACGAATAATTATACTTGAGTATTTTCAAGATACAAGATGCTTTGACGTATCATTCCAGAAGTTTTCAAAAGGTTCCAAAAGTACTAATTGCCTAAAACTTATGTTTTAATTTTGGAATTAATTACTAGTTGAATTATTTTCAAATATTTTTTTTATTATTTTTATCATCAGGGCAACGACACTGCCAGCAACTGCACTTTACTAATGATAATCTTAAATCTCCCTTGTTATTCAGTAGGTTCCTACCATGTGTTTGGAAATGACCTCAATTAATTACCTGGCTAAGGACCTTCTCCACTCCAGGAATGCATCTTTTTCTTGGCGATCCAATTCCTCTGGTGTTGTGGTGCTGTTCCAGGCAGGCCTTAGAACAAAACATTCTATCCAATAATTAGGATTCTACGAATCAGCATATGTACCAGGTAATTGAAAATCAAGAAAATAAAACTATCTTCTAATAATAATGATAATAATTCAAGGTTTGTATATATCACTTTTATCACAACATAGTTATCCGTGGTTATAAGGCCTTCCCAACCAGCCAATATCTTTCTCAACATCCTGGAGAGCATTCATGATCAGCTGGTGCTGCCATTTCAGTGCTCACAGCTAGCATTCAACAATTCTAACACTGCCCAACCACATACTCATTTACAGCCAAGTAGACTGGAACAAGCAGAGCAAAGTATCTTCCTCAACACAGTGCAGTGCCGTGACTCGAACCCGCAACCATTCGGTCACGAACCCAGAGTCCTACCACTAGACTACCGTGCCTGTTGATTTCATATTAAGCTAAAAAGTGTTTGGAAATCAGATAAAAGCACTGAAAATGAACAATAATATTCAAATGTATATGTGCACATGCATTCAATTTTAATTTCCTGGGAATCAGTTGATGAGATAATTTACCTTCTAGGAATTTTGAGCACATTTCTATGTTTTTGTTGCAGTTCTTCAATTTCTTTTTGCTCTTCAGCACTTAACAATCCTGATGGTTGGTTCCTATCTACAAATGTTATGTTCTGCTTCTCTGAAATTAAATACAGAAAGAAATATTTACCAAACTATCACTATAAGATATGTCACACACTGATAAATATTATTATAACCATGTGTATATATATGTAACAAGGTCATTATTTTTCAAAGCCTCAATAGGAGTCAAACCTGAGACCTCCAGCTTACTAGTCTTAAGCTCAACCAATTCAAATGAGCTGAAGAGAATTGTTCCCTAGCTGAGACGGCAGAAATCGGCTGGTATTTACCAAGCCTAAGGTGACATACTCCCCCATCTGACACCAGCAATGAACTTGTCCAAAGTTTTCCACGGGTCATAGCAATTCCTTTGCAAGTATCGCTGAGTATTTTGTCAGATCTCCTGGGTCCCTATGTGGGCGCCAATGTAAAAGAGGTTATTATTTTTCAATACTTCCGCTAGGAGTCAAACTGGGACCTTGGGCATATTCCTCTTGCGCTCTACTGAATGAGCTAAAAGAAGAAATTCTCCCTCGCCAAGTCGGCAGTAAGCGGATAGTATTTTACCAGGGTGACATATATATACTTGTTGATTATATAATCAAGTTAATGAATTTATCTATTTTATTCTAAAAACATCACCATTGTGTCATCTCCTTAACAGCGCACAGCAACTTATTTACATGGAAGGAAAGTGTCAAGAGAAAATAATCAATTACTCTTATGTGATGCAGACAGAAAATTGTAATCGTTTAGCACTTGAGAAAACCTTGTGTTAACTTCAAAAATCTTACCATCAGGTCGTCATTTCTCCATCTATATCACACAGGATTGGTTTGGTTTAGTATTGTTTAACGTCCTATCAACAGCTATGGTCATTTAAGGACGGCCTCCCCTGTGTGCAAGATGCATGCGTGTAGTATATGCATGTGTGTTTTGAGAGGCTGCGATATGTTTGTGTTTGTCTCCTTGTGATAGCGTGGAACTGATGCCGACTTTAAGTGCTATCTAACTGAAACATACTACCGAAGGCACCCGGCAGGATACCCCATCCACTCATCACATCATACTGACAACGGGCGAACCAGTTGCCCAATCCTGAATTGCTGAGCGTTAAGCAGGAGTAGAAACTACCATTTTTACAGACTCTGGTATGTCTCGGGGACAGAACCCAAAGCCTTCCTCACAGGGGTGAATGCTCAACTAAAGGCCAAAAGTGAGACATTGTCAAGGAAGACATTAGGAAGAAGAAAGTTGTTTAGAAAGAAGAGAAAAGATAAGATCCCAATTTTAGTCGCCTCTTATGATCAGGTACAATTCTTACGCTCTACCTGGATCAAACAGGAGGTTCTATTAATCCACAATACTGTGAATGTATTTCTCTATACAATCAACTGTGAATGTATTTGTCTACACAATCAACTGTTAAAAATATATGTTACCAAAAGCAGGTATCTGATGGATCTGTCAGAAAGTGTGTTTAGCTCAGCACTGTTGATGATTGTTCATAATACATTGTGGTAATATTATCAAACAGTGTGACAGACCAAAATCAGATGGCACCTTTGATATAGTTGCAACAGTTCAAGATAAGTCAACATTCATACTTTTATTTAATATGATGGTATATGATACATTATGGATGCAGGCTACAAGCCTCTATATCCATATCAGCACATACAACAATATTTACATTAAATATATACTTCAAGTGTCAATTTAAGTTTTTTAAACTAAAAATTAAAAGTTATATTTTCACGTTTACAGTGCTCAATACTCATCTAAACCAATTTCAAACTGTATAAAACAAAAGATGAATCAATGACATCATATATCAAAAACATGGAAAGTAAAGAAATGTTTCCTTATATCAAGGTGACAGTGTTTTTTAAAAGTTTGTAAGAATGCCCTCTTGTTCTACTACTAATATCCCACTGAAACATGCTTTCAATCAACTTGGATAAAAAGAGTTATTCACAATCTTAAAGACGTTTATTAGGTCTCCTGCCTTTATAAGGGCAAAGTATAGATTTAGCGGTCTGTTTAATATCTTAAAAAGTGGACATGCTCTGGTACGTGTATACAAGAACACACACATTAATTGCAGTATGAACCAAACACAATGCACATTTTTTTCTCAAAGAGACCCTATGGAGGATGTTCTGACTATCGCTGTCACATCAACACATTTCAAAAGGAACTGGTGCTAGTTAATTATATATTGGGCTAGGGAAGATTTTCAATATTTTAATGCTATGAAAATATAGGTCAGATTATTAGAATTTTTCAAAATCTACTTGCGGGCTGCTATTTTGAATACAAAAAATGTTTATGAATTATACAAATTATGAATTACCTGCAGTGAACTCTGTGCCAGCAAGTTCTGCTGTGCTGAGGAAATCCTCGAGGTTACTCTGTTCTGTCACAGACTGAAGGTTAAGACGCCCCCAATCATAGCCATCCTGGAGTTCACTGGTATGAAGCTGGAAACGTAAATCATCAGCAAATGACATCACATGTACTGTATGTATTTTATTACTGATTGTACTATATTAGTGCTTATTTGGTAATTTTTTATATACACTTTGCTATATTAGCATTTATATATATATAGCCATGCGCTTTTAGTCGCCCAACAGTTTTGCATGAGATTTGTGCTTGCTCTTATCTATGTACTTTTAATTAATATGTTTAATCAATTCTCTAATACTTAGCAATAGTAGTTTTATATCTTTGTTACCTGCTTTGATATATCTTTTCTGATGTTTTGTCGTAGTAATTATAAAAGCTCATTAGAGTAATGTTTCTGTTTTCATACATATGACTATAAATAAAATTTCTTGTATCAGGTCGGTGTCAGGTCGTTTCGGTAACAAGTCGTTTCGGTAACAAGACTGAAGTCGTTTCGGGACCTTTTTCCGGGTCGTTTCGGGAGTGTCAAAAGTCGTTTCGGGACATCTCGATTATTTTCTACTGTTTGTTTAGCACACTGTTTTCATAATATCAACAACAAGGCTTACAAAAACACACCCTACTAGTCTACATTGTAAAATTTGATTCTTTTTATATGCAGAATTTACTGTCAAATTAGTACTTCTGTAAAAAGGGAAACTTGATCAAGTTGGCCACATTAAATAGGGAAAAGAGTAAACGAAAACATGTCATCACGATATCAAACAAGGAACCTTAAATAACGAATGAAAATTATGTAAAAATAATTGATTGATTAATAGATATTGACCGCGCGTTCGGTTTGGTACTTGGTGTTTGTTCCTCTCTATTTAATAATGGGATTAGTTTAATCAAATTAACAACATGTTGTCAATCAGGTTAATACTGGCAGGTACCCCCTCAAGCAATCTAAGCGTGGCCCTAATTGGCAAAACTGAATCCCAAGCATGGGTAGGTCGAAGCCGCCATATGCGTACTCGTGTATACATAAATCGTGACGTCATTGCTGAAAGGCTACGACGAAAGCTGTGTTTACACAGATTTTTACGAAACGGGAAAGAGAAATGTAACTTGTAACATTCATTTATATTTTGATTGTATTTTTTATATGTCCCGAAACGACTTGAGTAAGTCCCGAAACGACTTAATTTTGTCCCGAAACCACTTGTCACAGAAACGACTAGCATTCATCTTGTAGGCCTACTGGTAGTTAAATGTAGTCATTATAATTATTATGAAGTTAAAATGAAAGGAATGCGATTCAGAAAATGTTAATCTTGGATATTTTTTTATCTAGTAAACATTAATTTGTAATATGAAAAATAGTGAAGGTAAGTATCCTCTTTATTTTCACAATGTCTTTGACAGCAGTCACCTACTGAACGTGAATATGTAGGTCACATTTTTCACAATTTATCAAATTGTTAACATTCTAAAGACCGCCTATTTTTTATTTTATTTTTATAAACTTTTGTTTCCATTTTCAACTTATACCTTCATTTCTTGGGAATTCAAGTGGATTATAATATGCCATTTTCTATTTTCTGTATACTGCACAAAATGCAGCAGTGTTGTTTTTTGTGTGACCGAGTCGGAAAACGGACGTTCACCATGGTTCACGGTTCAGCCCTTTGAGTGTCCAGCACGTTTGATAACTGGTATAATGTCTCCGTAAATAAATCAGATGTGATGTTAGACAGTTGTATATTCCAATGATGGTCAGAAGACTTCCATCATATTTTATGTAACAAGAGTAAAGAAACTTACGAAGTTTTCTCGATCCGTCCCTCGCGATGCAGGTTTGCGTTTTCCAAATCTATTACTGATCAGACTCTTTCCCAGATTCACTGCTTGTTTCTTCTTCCCCATTTCATAAGCGTTATTATGTTGCTAATAAATCACTATTTACATGTTATAGACAGCTGATATTTCGAATGTGCTACCCCAGTTCAACGAACACGTGAATTTCACAATCTGGTGTTGTGTTGAGACAACGTTATTTATTTGCTTTGTCTAGAAACGCTCTGAAGTCAAACGTTTAATCGACCACGATATTCTTGCACTGTCAATCGTATAAGTGTCGAGTCGGAACATTATCCGGAACATTGCAAGGGAAAAGAGCATATATATATATAGCCCCAGATACATGTGTCAATTCATTGTAATTAATATTACATAAAAAAATGTTTTGGTTTTATAAGTACATGATAGGATATATTATTTGTTCATAACTTGAAAATGTTTAGCTTTAATTTCTGTCTAATCCGAAAGATAGTAATTTATAGACAATCGTCTTGTAAATGATTTTTGATCGGTAGCCGACTTTTTTCTGACCTGAAATCATAGGTTACGTCCGCTTAAATACGTACTGAGTCGTACATGTAGGTAGGTGAGTGTATTCAGAAACATCGTACTCCGTATATATAATACATAACGTCTCTGACGTTCTGTACGGTAGCACATGGCGCCAGCCTCTACCTGCACCAAACACTGGTAAAGATCTACAAAGTGTTCATCTAGTCACGGACAAGATTTATCACATTTTAATGCTATGCTAACAGTGACAATGTTACATGGACTTTAGGTTACTCAGTCCCCTTCAGTTACACACAAACTCATGCTATGGTTGTTAAGCATACAATTAAAACAAATTGAATGGTATAAACCCTGTCACAGTTCGACTTTGATAGCATAAATACTGTTATATAATCGATTTTTTGTAGTATCTATGTACTTACCTACGCCAGCTTAAAATGTTAACTTAATTTCATAAACTCCATAGATCTCAAATACGTATTATTATGTAGCTGATATTTAGTAAAAAGAACTCATTAATGCTATTGAACTGTTTTAGTGCTTTAACCACATATATGGAACTTAATTCACAATAAAATGTACCATTAGCAAATAATCGTCATCAATTCTTATCCACTTCATTCGTTATATTTAGATACACGTGTGGCGTCTGGAGTGCAGCATTAACTCTGAATTTCAGTTAGGTGATGACGTTTACGAACCCAAGTACACAATCTCATTGTCGAACCCTTACAATTTTACTGTTCCAGAAAATTTAACAAATATATTTTGACGTGACTGTTGTAATAAGCATTTTGTGAATTACAAACTGTTATGTATTTGCATGGCTGCCTTGTATGCCGATGCACAAAAACAAGAGGCGCCATTACTGCCAGTAATTGTCTTCTTATACTCATGGATATGTATATTTTCTTTCCTAATTTTTGGAATGAAATAGGAAAGAAATAACAGAAAGACTTTCACAATCGATTATCAAATGTCATTAACCAATATATATATTATATATATATTGGCTAGCCTCAATGGCAGAAATGGTAATTCATTGCAAAAAAATCTTCTGTTTTTAGTACTTTCAATTTGATCCATCTCTTGATTGTAATAAATATAGGTAAAAGCTGTCGACGAACTGTCAGGTGTTCCTTGTATACTATACAGGGACCTGAGTTCCCGGTGTTAATACACAGTTTGATAATAGAAGTGCACCCAAATCAACTGGATTTAATTAGACACGCTCGGAAACTACGTACATTTTAGCTCTAATGACGTTTTGATTTTGCTTTTATTAACACTTCCATATAATCTCCCGGACTTGCCTGCAGCACGTATAATTGTTTTTACGAAAATATTTGAAGTACCAGCGTTAGGTTTACTGTAGAATTAACGGCACAAAACCTGACCAAGTTGGCAAAGTATTGTTAGCTTCAAAACGTTCCCGCAAGCTTTATATCTGCTTTATTTCATAACAAGACATTCATGTCTAATTTTTACACTGACAATTTAAGCATTGAACAGTTTTCAGTTGGCATTCATATGCAAAATGAATGCCAAATGCACAAAGGCGAATTCAATGAAGCGCGCTAGCTAACTCGATTTGCCTTTGTCCAATTGGAATTCATATTGCCCAAGAATGCCAACCGAATTGTTCAATACTTATATTTACCATTTTGGAATCTGTTCATCTCATGAAAAATTCAAATAAAATCATTATTATTCAGCATTTAGTTCAAATAATGCATGTTTCGTGTATGATTGTTCAATGAATAGACTAGCCATCACCCGTGGATGGCCAGTGGTATCCAACGAAACAATTATGACGTCATAATAATGATGAAGTTATCAATAGGTCCATGGCATCTATAGCCTAAAGGAATGCCAACTGAATTTGATAGAGTTATTTTGTGGCAATGCCTTACGATGGTAAATATATGAAGATATGAAACACGAAATTTAAGTATAACAACAAGGTCCACTCAGAGAACATAAAGTGTATGTTATTTTACAAAATCAATGTGATCTTCTTAATCAGTTTTGCAAATGTCAACAAAAAATAATAAAGGTACTGTTAAGTTTGGTTCAGATAAATGGAGGCTTGTCGGTTTATCGAACCTTAAACTTCATTTGTACAAAATTCTGACAGAGAACACAAAAATGTACAAACACTTTGATATTGTTATAATTTATTTAGGAGATAGTACGTTGTTTTGAGTGGCTATACTGGCGAATAGAACATGAAATTTGGGTTTGAACTCGAGACCGATAGGTCGAGAGTTTAAATTCTATCGCAGATTAGGACATGGTCCGTATCCAATCAAAACACGCGTTGCAAACGAATCGTGTAAGAATATCATTTAAATGATGATATCGTTCAGTATAAGAATTCCCTGTACAGTATATGTAAATCAATATTTTAAAGAACTTTTTAAACATATGATAAAATGATTACCGGCATTTACTTTTATCTTTCGCTTTAGAAAACGATATATGTATATGATGCATATGATGTGTACGGGAGAGTGTCGGATAAGACAGGTTGATTTAACCAATGTGTTATGTCCAAGAAGGTGTCGGATTAAACATAACTATTTTACCAGCATGTTACGTCCCTGAATGTGTCGGATAAGACAGGATACTTTAACCAGTGTGTTCGGTCCCAGAAGGTATATAATGAGACAGATTGATTAAACCATTGTGATGTGTCAGTTTTTAATTTCACTTATGTGCTGTGTCCAACCAAGTGTCGAATAAAACAGGTTAGTTTAACCAATATATTCTGTCCCACCAGGTGTCGTATGTGCTGTCCCACAAGGTCTCAGATAAGGCAGGATAGTTGAACAAATGTGCTGTGTCCAGCAAGGTGTCGGATAAAGCACGTGTACTTAACCAATGTATTGTGTTCTACACTGTATCAGATTAGACAGGTTTCGTTGTATATACATTTTTTGTTAGAGGTTCTTACTTAGATAACATGATATGTGCAGAGGATTACAAAAACAATCATTTGAAACGAACGAAAATAGCATGTAAGATATTTCATTATCATCTATATACTACTTTATACCACCTACCGATAGCATGATAAATTCATTATCACTGGTTGTCAGTATGAGAAGAAATTGGGAACGAATTAAGAACAACTTGAGAAGAGCTTGAGAACGGATTTTCCCATTTAGATATTTTTTCTACGTAGTTTCAAGGTTTATTGTATTCCTTTGCGCAAAAGTTCTATTTGTTTACGTTTGTCACAGGCGATCGTTGACCATTGAGCTTAGAAGTCATTTGGAAAACATGGTGTTTAGTTGACTTTTTTAAATGGAGAAATTTATAAGGTAGTAGTATATAGATGATAAATAGTTTATCACACAGTATTTTCAGGGTTTGTCGTTCGAACAATTTTCTCATCGCTCGCACGTAGATACAATTTCGAGTCCACCTGTGGTGGCCTCTCGATTTTTGTTCTCACGACAAACCCTAAAAATATAATGTGATAATCTATAATTCTCAGGTTTGTACTTTGTTTTCTAAAACATAGCTGATAATTACAAAACCAGCCAAAGATTGTGTACAGTAAATCGGCAGTCTTACACAAGCTGGTTCTATTTACCAAGTTTAGAAATGGTCAGAGCAATAACATCGGACCATTAGTGGCCAAAGCAGAAACAAGTTAGATCGGATACATATTTGACCAGCATAGACACAATCTGCACATGACCACTAGCGGTCAACAATCTTACAGACAAAGAACTGACAAATACAGCAATCATGTATATGTGACCGATAGAGTTCAACAATCCTCAAGAGTAAGAACTGACCAATACAGCAAACATGATTTGTTTGCTGTGTTGGTCAGTTCTAACTATGTAGGATTGTTGACCTCTAGTGGTCACATGTAGCTTTTGTATATGACCATTAGCGGCCAATAACCCAAATGCACAATAAATCATCGCCGATGATGAGATCGATGTGCCATTATCACGCGAAATCGATGACGTCATTACAATAATTTCTATTTCATAATCGACTTCCGTCAATGTTCTTAATGGGTGCAATTAATCTCGAAAAATAAGTTAACGAATATATACTTTATGTATTTAAAGTTGCAATATTTAACGATTTTCTGTTAATAACCATATATATTCACATTCTACCAAACTAGCAAAACGTGTGTTGTGTTCCATTCAAAAACAAATTAATTTTCTATTTATCAGTTCATTTTCAGATTACATTTAATGACGAGACTATTATTCCTTTGAAACAGTTTCGGATTAAAGAATCCTTGTCCCACCCATTGTAACTGTAGCACATAAATCATTCAGGCTCGTAAACTTCTGTCGTCCAGATAACTAGATCGGTTTCAGCGATGATGTAACAATCCGTTCAAGGTGACGCGGTGTTCGATTTCTGGTCTGGCCCTGCATAATATTTTACATTCAGAACACGTTTGTTGATTATATTTTGTTTATTTCATCTCCATAATGTTTCCATAAAAGTCACGCAGTGTATACATTTCTTTTCAAAAATGATTTATCAAAGCTATAGTCATGTTAGAACGAATCAGTTTCGAACTCATAGACTTTTTTGGCATTTTCATGATGGGAGATGATGCTACGATGTAGTTATTAGTAATCTTTTTCTTTACTTTATTTTTTCGGAAAACAAATAATATAATTTTCAATGATGAAAATGCATTTTTCAATTACGTGTTC